TTATAAATTATCAAGGGCTCATGAGGGAGCGGGGAGTGGGGAGGGAGGGGGAAAATGAGAAGCTGATACCAAGGGCTCAAGTAGAAAGAAAATGTTTTGAGAATAATAATGACAATAAATGTACAAATGTGCTTGACACAATGGATGTATGAATGATTGTGATAAGAGTTGTATGAGCCCTCAATAAAATGATTTAAAAAGAGAGAGAGAGGCTCCCTCCGGCAAAAAGGACAGAGGGGGGCTTGTCGTTGTCCCCACTGTCTCTAAGTACGACTTGTACGTCAGTGTCATGATAGGTTCCGTGGCACATTGTTTTCATCATCTTTTCTTTACATTTCCATACATGAATGTCAAAAACAGATGTTCACTAATGGAAACTTTAACAAAAAGGAGTGAAGAAGAAAATTTGCATAAATTGGCCAGCCGATGAACTAAATCCAACTAACCTTTTCAGAGTATAATCCTTCCAGTCTTTTCTTTGCATACAAACGCACTTTTATTTTAAAGATGGAATTAAATTACACACAGCCTTATGTCATTTCCCCCAGTTGGCATTATTTATAAGTAATTTTCAAGTCTTTAAATATTCTTAAATGGCTACACAATATTACACTGTGTGGGCATTGTTGTCTAACTAAGGCCTCATTGTTGAGCATTCAGCAACGCCCCACTCATGTTTCTCTCTTAGGGATAATAGAACATTTTACGTCATCAAAATAGGAGCCCCTCACCGAAAAAGGCAGATGTAGTTTACACAAGCTACTTTTCCTTTCTAAGAGACTCAGTAAGTCTTAAGGGTGCAGACCATTGAAAGAGTTAAGCATTAGAAAGAGTCTGGCTGGCAAAAGGAACCAAGGGGCCCAAGAGCTAGTCCACACCACACCGGTCCTCCCCCTACGCCACTGCCACTGCCGGGGTTCCTGTTCTGTGCTCACCTGCAGCACCTCTCCCATTCCCCACAGCCACCAGGACACGGACCGATTTCTTTCTTCCCTCTTTTGCAGTCATGTTGAAAACATTTCTTACCTAAAGGACAAAATAGTTCAGAAATATTATACCTTAAGGAATTTAGGGAGGGGAGAAATTAGCGCAACCTTCACACACACACACACACACACACACACACACACACACACACACACACAGAATAGATACATTCTCCAACTCCATAAGCTCAAACACTCAGGTTTCTCCAGTTGAAACTGTAGCCACTTTCCTCAAAAGCAAAAAGGAAGTAAAAGTTTCTCTTCAAATTAAATATGATTATTAGAAGGTTCAACTGAGGTCACCTTTAAAGGGATCTGAACCTATAAAACCCTCACTCTGTGGACCAGACAATGCTTCTTCTGCTACACGTAAGAACTCTCTGTAGGGTTGTTAACTGAGTATACAATTTACGAGTTAATGTGGCCCCGCAGACCCCACTCCCGCACCAGGACCAGGAGCAGGGGGGTCAAGAATGACATGGTCCACACGTTTCCACTTCATCCCCACTCCTGTTTATCCAACTCCATTTCTAATTTGCCTTTTAAGAAATTACCAATTTTTATTTCAGTCATGCCTTTAAGACACTTAACAATAAACATCTGGTTTGTCAGCTACTGTTTTCAAATCAGCACTCATATTTGAAAGGATGTCTCGGTTATCTATTGCTGCTAAAACAGAAAATACCACACATTGGTGGGTTTAATAAACAGACATTCTCTTCTCAGTTGGAGGTTGAAGGTTCAAGTTCTGGGCGCCGGCTCTAAGAGAGTGCTGTCTTCCTCTGCTGGCCTGAAGGAAGGTTCTTGTCTCTGAAGATCTTCATGTGGCTTGGCCTTTCTCCCACCTCCTGTTTCTTTCACTGGCTTATGTGAGCTCTTTTATGTCTCAAAAGAAATTGACTTAAAACTCACCCTACAATAATCCAGTCTCAGGAATATAACTAAGTCATCCCATTCCCAAATGGGATTACAACCCACAGGCACAGAGGTAAGGGTTTACAACACATATTCTGAGGGGGGTTGCTAGTATTTGGAATCAAGTCAACGGCAGTGGGTGTGACTTATTTGGGGGACACACAATCAATCCATAACAAAGACCCAGACCACTGACTGGCTTACAAAGTAGCTGCTTATCTGGTTCAGGGTGGCCCTTTCCCAGAAAATGAGGCTAAGGAAAGGAGAGCACTGCTATAATCTCACAAGAATTCACCCACATACAGAAGAACTCTTCAAAGAGAGTGCCCCCAAAACTGGGATGCAGAAAGCATAATGAACATTTTTAAATTCTATAATGCTATTTATATTGAAGAAACAGTATACATTTTCAAAAAGAACAGCTCAGAGACTGAATAGATGATTGTGCTATAGGGCATCTGGGTGGCAAATGGTTAAGCATTTAACTACAAAGGTTGGTGGTTCAAACCTGCCCAGAGATGCCCCCCAAAAAAGAGGAGGGAGGGGAGGCCTACTGGCCTGCTTCCAAAAGGTCACAATCCTATGACAATCCTATGGAACATGGGTACTTCACACACACGGTGGCCAACGGTCAGATCGACTCTGAGGCAGTGGTTTGGTTTTCAAAGAAAAATGGACTAGTTCAGAGGTTGCTCTGAAGAGTAATTGAAGTCTAATTGAGCCAGGCTCCAGGTTCAGGGGCTTACATGTAGACCTCCGGCCTACTTCCTATCAAGAGTAGGGTATTCATGGCAAACCCAACCTTTCCAGTGGTGCCCTGCGGCTCCTCCCAACTCCACATCCCTGAACTGAGTACCAACTGCAGCTTAGCAGTGCACTGCATTGACTAACTCTACTGCAAGACTTCTTTTAAAAGGTTGAGAAGCAAGGAGGTCACTTTGAGGACTAAGGTGCACCTGACCCAAGCCATGGTATTTTCAATCACCTCAGACGCATGTGAAAGTGGGACACTGAATAAAAAGGACCAAAAAAGAATCGATGCATTTGAATTATTGTGCTGGTGAAGAATATGGAAAACAAAACCAAATAAATCTGTCTGGGAAAAAGTACAGCCAGAAGGCTCCTTAGACGTCAGGATGGCGAGACTTCGCCTCGTCTACTCTGGACATGTTGTCAGGAGAGACCAGTGCCTGGATGGAAAAGGCCGTGCCGTCATGCTCCAGAAAGTAGAGGGAATCCAGAACCAGGGAGCCTTTGGATGAGATGGACTGACACAGTGGCTACAGCAGTGGCGAGGATGACACTGGACCCAGAAATGCCTTGTTCTGTCCTGTTGCAGAGTTGCTGAGTCGGAACCAACTCGATAGCATCGAGTGACCGGTGCGGCTGGCTTACACAGCAACCAAAGATTGCTAATGAACTTTGGCTTTAGAAAAGAAGGCATTTGAATGTAACCTTCAAAGTCTTTTATAAACAAACCACCCAAAGTTCCGTTATCACGAGACCTCAATTTGGTAGTTGTCCACCAAAATGGAGATGCAATCGGAGGCAAGAGCTGACATGGAAGTTTCCCTATGTTCTGATCCAAACCAGTTCTGTCTCAGAAAAAGACATGCATCAGAGGTTTTCCCTCATAATTCCACTTGCCCCATTCCCTATACCACCTGCCCAAGAGATTCGAAGGCTTACCCAGATTTCTCACACAACATACCTACCTCTAGTATTCTGGTATCAAAATCGTCATAGGTTTCTGCAGGGAAAAAACAAGCAGACATGCAGATGGAAGTCTACAAAATTCACTTATGAAAGCATCTTTCAACCAAGGCATCAGCACAGCTTTTAAATAAGCAAGATGCTCAGCTCCTCTGCTGGTTCACCATCATCCTCAGGGACGGCTCCAGACCACATCCACCCACGCAGCCACCCAAACCCATGGCTGTCTCCTGCCACTTCCCTAGCTCTCTTACTCGACGCCCACGGCCTGACTCTGGACCACCCAGCATCTCCACACCTTCCTCTTCCCCAGCCTCCCTTGCGCGCTCACATCCTCTCACACTACTCCATCAAGCCCATCAGATATGGCTAATGTTCTCATCTCCCTCACCCTTGTCTCTCTCCACCACTGTGGGCCCAGACCTGGCCAGCTGGAGAGAAGCACGATTAAACATTCATGGTCTCCAAGCCAACCCCATATTCTCTGTGAACTGTTAGCATCTGATGCTCACTTACTGAGGACTCTACTCGCACTATTTGGCAGCTATTTCAAACACTCTCTATTATTACTATTATTATAGAAAATGTCAATCATACACAAAAACAGATGAATTAAAAAAAAACAATACAAACAGATGAATAAAAACCTATGTGTCCATCGCCCATTTCCAACAATCATCAACTATGGTCCATCTTCTTTCCTCTTAGCTCTGACCAACTGCTACCCACTGGAAAATTCTGAAGCCAGTCAGACACCACCTTTGCACCATCAATATGCTGGTGGTCACATTCATTAACATCCCCACCCCACTTCCCTCTTAAAGACTGGCAGATGCCAACCTTTCCACTACCAGTAATAGAGGCCAAGCTGAGCCCGTGCCCTGCCCTTCTGTCTGTTACAAGTGAATCTATGTAGGAGGTTCAGAAAGTTTGAGGGAAAGTTCCTCTTTACCGAGACTGGTTCTGGGTCTTCAACAGGGATCTTAAGTCTATGGACTTAGTCCTCTTTCTCCCACCCTCTCCCCTTCCTAATGGAAGCATGTTGCTCAGCTCTACACCAGCTCTTCTGAGTCTCGCCGTCTCACCCTCTCCCCTCCTCTGGAAGTCAAACATGAAATAGGTAAACGTATGTCTATTTCTCATCGACTAACAGGAGTAAGTTTTTCAGGTGACCTTTATATCTTTATATTCTGGAGTTTTCTAAACTGATCTCAAAGGCATTATCAAGTTCTGTTTCACCTGTGCACTTATGAGGCTAAGCCACAAACGGTTTGGGGCTCAGCACCCCCGAGCCATATTGCTCCACAGGTGCGCAAAGGGCCAAGTGTACCTAAGTAAACACGTTAGCCTGCAGGCAGCTCGTGGAGCTCCTCATGCACACAACCACGTTAACGGCTCTGAGAAGCTACACAATAAAGATGTGGGGACCCATCCCACTTACAGATTACTTCTTGGTGATGGGCCACTAATTTCCCATAAAATAATCATTGGATAATAAATAATATGACCAGATACTCAAATCCTATTTTTTTAAATAAAGCAACCTCAACAGGCAAGTACATAAAATCATTCCAAAGAATTCCGAACTGCAAGGACTCTGCTACCTCCGTTGGGACCAGGGTCAGGGGGGCCAAGACTGACGCCTCCCCAGGAGTTTCCGCTCCATCCTCGCTCCCGCTTAGCCTTAATTCTCCTCCTCCGTTCCCACTCCTCTCTCTGTTGGATTATGTTGGCTTCCACCTTCTCCTGCTCCTCCTTGCTCCTTTGTGTGATGGTCTGCACCGCTCCATTTCTCATCAGAGGGACGTTCAGACCAGGCCAGAGGAAACCAGAACGCCCTGAAACACGAAACGTTAAGAACATCAAGATACTTTTAAATCATTTTGCCAGGTGATGTGTGTCTACATAATACCACAGTGCTGGTGGGATCGTGGCTAACATAATCTACCTGGCAGGCCACTGACACTATCTATTACAAGGCTCTGGGAACATACCCTTACGAGCTGGTAATTTCAAGACATGCTATTGTCTAGAGAAACACACACAGACCGGCGTCAGGTAAATGCGTACAAGGACAAGGATGGCCACGGAAGTCTCTTTGCAAAGGTAAAAAATAGACACAAGGGAAACACCTAGTCGCGGTGGAATGATTAAGCACCCCAGGGCAGATACAGTCTATGAATAGTCCATGGTAACAACAAAAATGGGACAGTTCAATCGGGACTGACGTTGACCAAGTTCCAAGAACTATTGTGAATGAGAAGAAACTGGGAAGCTGTATGGGTTATATGATTTACTTTATTTTCTAGAAACAAGAAAATACATATTGCTTCTAAGGTACTTATGCATATAAAGGCATAAAGTATGTCTGGATGGACAAATAAAAGCAGTGGTGTTTTCCTGGGGAAACAACTGGGGTTGGGGTGCTGGAAAGGGGCATAAAAGGCACTTGAGGTTTCTCATCTTTGTATTTTTTTACTTAGATACTAGAGAGGGCTTCAAAAAGTTCATGGGAAATTTCCATTCTCTTGTAATTCCATTTTTCCATGAACTTTCTGAAGTCCTCATATTCATGTAAAAGTCTCATATATATATATATATTTTTTTTTTAAATAGGTTGATTCGAGTACATTATTCCATTGTTTTTCTTAAAAAACAAAAAAACAACATAAGCAATCAGGGGTTCCAGGGTGGGCAAATAAGGCCCGCAGGACACAGCAAGTCCACCACTTGCTGTAGATAGTCTTCGCGCTCAGATGAGCAGGGTCACCTGACTGTACACCTCTACGGCGATCTGGTGCTCCAGCAACAGGTGAGTTACAGGAGGCTATGTGGCTCCCCAAATGGGAAATGATTATCTGGCTCTTTGCAGGAAATGTCTGTCACCCTCCCATCCATTCTGGGTTCTGTCATTAGAAGAAGGGACTGTCACAGCAGATGGCATGCCACAGACACTAAAGGGCTGTAACTGGATGTATGAATCCCTTTCTGTGGGATTTTTCTCCTCCAGGATCCTGGGGCAACAAGCAAACCGTCTACACTCAAAACTATAAATCTCAGTGTTCTTCATGAGAAATGCACTGCTCTTTGTACGTTTTCTATCAAATCAGAGGAAAAGGACGGTCTAAAAGGTATTAGCTGTTTGCATAAATACGTTTACCTTCACCAATGATCTGACCCCTGTTCAAATCCTTTCTTCTCTTTTTCTTAACTCTTTTGCCTCTTCCTTTTCTTGCTCCAGCACCGCTCTCTGCTAAAACACCTTTCCACAGCTCATCTGCTGTCACTGCAACGAGAAGGGGATTCAATATTTTACGATGAGCTCCAGGCTCCAGTGAAACAAAACAGCCGAAAGAGGCCCTCTCCACCAAGTCTTCGGCGAGTCAACGAAAGCAAAGTTAAACTCGCCCTTTCACATGTCACATGATGACCCCTGCAAAGATGTTGGCCAACATTTACATCCCAGTTACTTACCAAGATTGGCTTCCCGGACTTTTATCACCTATATGATCTCTTCTTGGTTTCTTGCTTCCATTTTAACTAGTCAGTAGCTATTCCTTATTAGCCCAAACAAGAATCAGCATTTCAATCTGTACCCATAACTCTTAAGACTCTGAGTCATCTGTTCTTTTCTTCTGCAAATGCTCTAATGATTATAATGTTTGTAGATTCTTCAAAACGAGATGCTCAAATTCACCTTCAACTCTAGCTAAAGCCTAACTAATATGTAGGAAAAACAATTTAAGGGTCTGGTAGTTAATACTTATGTGTGTCTTCCTTACGCTTGTCTTGCTTTATGTATAAACCAGTTCTTCCCGAAGCGGGTGATACTGCCCCGAGGGCAGCTGAAACGACCCAGGGGGCTGCAAAGGGAGACAGATACCTACACTTTGTCCTGGATTATGGGCTGGAGGACAAAAGTGTTTCAGTGCCAGTGGGGCACTGAGTAATTCCTCCCTTCCCCTTCGCCCCAGAAAAGAGGGCAGCAGCCCAAACACGTTTGGGAATCTATGGTAGAGACTGACACTATTGATTTAATTCCACACGTCAATTTCCAGAACCGCACAGTCTTCTCCATCATTTATTTCAACCAATATTTTCTCCTTTGCTCTGGTGGAAAGAATATCAGTGGCACCTGGCTGCCAACTGAATGGTTGGTGGGGGGAGATCTGGCCACCGGCTTCCGTAGATGGCAGCTCCGGCAATCCTCTGGAGCAGTGCTACATGCGGCTGATGTGACCTGGGAGGGACTCAGTGGCAATGGTGTGCTTTGGGGGGGGGGTGTAGTGTCTACAGGTGGGGTATTTAGTCTTTACTTGCCCACTAATGAATTTTATGGGGGGGGGGCGTGCAATAGGTTCAGCACTCGACTGCTCACTGAAGGGTTGGTGGAGGGTCCAGC